CAGTAGGAACAGGAAAGGATGAAAGGCAGAAGTGAATCTATCCTTAGAGGTTTTTAAGACTAGGATTAACAAAGCCCTGGGGCTGAGACGATTTAGTTGGGGTTGGCCCTGCTTTAAGTGGAGGGCTGATTGAGATGACCTCCTGAGGTCTCTTCTAAGCCTTACCTTCTATAATTCTATGAAGGAAAGGCATTGTGGCCATAGTATTTAATTAAGACAAGTTTACATTAGAATGTAATGTAGACATTTACATAAACAATATTGGTATCAATATCCCAGATGGTCAGTCTGTTTTTTGCATGCCAGCCTTTCCAAGGCAGCCAAATGAAAGTGTACGAGACTAATCCTCTTCTGTTTGGGGATATTGAGACTTTCCATGTCTACAGTCTTTGTCATTAGGGAAATACAGAGAAGCCAGGCTTCTTGGCAGGCTAGCAGGATCCACCATTTTGGAATTGCAAGTTTTTAAAATGTGCTTTAAGACTTCTCTTATCCATAAACTAAACCATAAATGTAGAAAATAAAAAGTGAGAATTTTAAAAAGTTAAAATTTGGTTCCAATGTTAAGCACCACCAGATTTGGAAATGCCAGAATGAATGTTGCTTATACGCAACCTTAATTTGGTTCCATGCCGAGTATGCATTATAATAATCCTTTAACTACATGCAAAAGTGACTACCTGTGAAACATATGGTGTGTCGCAAAGGAACTCAGGGGCAGAGATAGAATCCAAGTTTCTAGGGTGGCATTTAAGTGCTCTAACCACAATACCACCCTTTTTCCTTCCTACTATCCATCTCATTCACTACAAGTGTTTGAATATTTTCAAAAAATGACACAAGAATCTTACATACAATAGCCTTCACTACAAAATCTTGATTCATCTTCAGACTGAGCCCATGAACTGACTGAACCATGATTTCTTTGTAAAAGATATGGGATCATGTAATTAAAGACTGTGTCATAATGAATACAAATACGGTATGTGGTGGTGGTGGGGGAAGAGGCAGAGAAGTAAGGTTGCCTGGGCAACATGCATGCTAGCATTTTCTAACGAGCATCTTTGACTTTGCATTTCCTATTTTTTATGGTATAATTTATTGATCGGAGCAACTGTAACTAATGTAAAATGAAGGTTTTTGAAAAACCTATAATGGAATTTACAAAGTCTTCTATGTACTATTTAAATAATAAAGCACCTACACCTTAGTTTACTGAATTAGTTTCATAGTATTGGAGAAAAATAGGTAAACTTCTAAATCACCTTTTAAAGTAATTCTGTAATAGAAAATTGAGTAGGCACTCGCACACAAGTCCCTTTTTAAGGTAAATATTCAGAAAGTCATAGCCCCTAATTTGTAAGAAGCATCTAAATAGTATGCATGAAAAGTAGTTTCAGTCATCTTGTGCATATTAACCCTTTTAGAGGAAAGCAGCAAACAATTCCCCTTTGAAAAGAAACAAGAGTACCAGAGTTCAAACCCAAAAGAGCACAGCAGGAGCTTACCCAAACCCAGTCAGCTTTCACTAGAGTTCCTCCTGGGACCCTTGTTTGTAAAAATATTATGGTCAACTGAGAAAAATCAGTGATAATTCTCCCCAAATATCTTATTTTAAGATGGCAAATGTCTCACTTGCTAATTGCAATGTTAATGCCACATAACTGTATGTTTGCATAACTGTATGTCAGCAACTCACCAGATTTGACATCTAAACATATTTAATGGACAAATCCAATTCTCACATAAATCTGTGCAATACTATTGATAAGGCAATTATAAAGGAAAGAAATGTACCCCGGTTATTTTTGTACATAAAATGTAGTTAATTGCTAAGTCCTGGTGCACGTAAGGAATGTGTCATTCCTTCCTCTCAATGGCTTCTTTGCACTTCCCCCTCTTCAATTCATAGAATCCCAGGGCTGGAAGAGACCTCAGGAGGTCATCAAGTCTAGCCTCATGCCCAAAACAGGACCAACCCTAATTAAATCACCCCAGCCAGGGCTTTGTCAAGTTGGGACTTAAAAACCTCAAGGGATGGAGATTCCACCACCTCCTTATGTAACCCATTCCAGTGCTTCACCATCCTCCTAGTGAAATAGTTTTTCCTAATATCCAACCTAGACCTTCCCCACTGTAACTTGAGACCATTGCTCCTTGTTCTGCCATCCGTCACTACTGAGAACAGTTTATTTGGAACCTCCCTTCAGGAAATTGAAGGCTGCTATCAAATTCCCCCTCACTCTTCTCTTCTGCAGACTAAATAATCCCTCAGCCTGTCCTCGCAGGTCATGTGCTCCAGCCTCCAATCATTTTGGTTGCTTTCCGCTGGACCCTCTCCAATGCGGCCACATCCTTTCTGTGGTGGGGAGCCCAGAATTGGACACAATACTCCAGATGTAGTCTCACGAGTGCCGAATAAAGGGGAACAACGTCTCTAGATCTGCTGGCAATGCTCCTCCTAATGAACCCACTATGCCATTAGCTTCTTGGCTACAAAGGCACTTCCTGAAAATAATCAGCATAGCGGCATTGCGCAAGAGGGTTCTTGTGCAAGAAGGGGCAGTGTAGACAGCTCCTTCTGGCACAAGAGCCTCTTCTGTAAAAATGGCAGCTCATGAGGCATGCAAATGAGGCTCGGCAATATTCCACATATTTGCATATCTCTTGCACAAGAAGACGCAAGTGTAGACTTAGCCTGGGAGAAGTGGCAGTGTCCGCAGAAGGAAGTGACTTGCCTTACGAATGGTGTAGCTGCTAGCAGAGAAAATGCAAAGGTGAGGCAGTGCTGAAGGCTATAGAGCCCAAGACATATTAACCCCACTATTAGGGCAGTGCTTCCTTATATAACTTCTCAAATTACAGGGCAGGTAGCTGTTGCAGTCACCTTGGTAAAGCAGTTGATGCTTCTAGTCACCTTGGTAAGACAGTAAGTTTAGGCAAAACTCAAGCTCAGTCACCTTCACTATTTCTTCCCCACCCTCTCAATCATAGGAAAAGGGATTCAGCTACCATGCTGTTAGACAAACCACAGTAGACCTGCGCCAGAAGATGTAGAGTGAGGACTGACTTTTCCCATGGGTATATTTGGGATTATATAGCAGAGAGAAATTCCATCCTTCTGGGTATGATAGGTGGCCAGGCTCTTCATCTACAGATAGGCTTTAAATGGAAGTACACCAAGGTCCTTCTCTGAAGATGAGTCCAACCCTCATCCTTTGGGAAAGGGGTAGTGGCCTTGGAAGGTCCCCGATGTGAGAGTAGAAGGGAATTAAAGCACCTGAGGGCTGGAATAAAAGGAGTAGAGACTCAGCTTTTCATTGAGTTCATATGGGTCACTTTGCATCTGCTTTTTTGTTTCAGCACAAGTCTCCAGACCTTTGTTCTGGGTTCAGACAAGCCAAATACATCAATTCTATCTCAATGTCCTTCCACAGATAAAGCAGCCATATACCCAAAATAAGAAGGTAATTAAGGCAGACTATAGAGGCTCTGCTTTAATAGGCTTGCCTGCTAGAGCTACAAAAGCTTTAGGAAGACTTGTGCAGTGATGAGAACAAGACAGCTTTCAACAGCTCCTTAAAGATCCCTCAGTTGGACACTAAATATCTAAAAGTCCCTCAGCATGCTTACCTATGAACAACCCTTTTGGCTTGTGCAGCAAAAATATATCTTGGCTACGTCTAGACTGGCATGATTTTCCGCAAATGATTTTAACGGAAAAGTTTTCCGTTAAAAGCATTTGCGGAAAAGAGCGTCTATATTGCCACGGATGGTTTTCCGCAAAAGCACTTTTTGCAGAAAAGTGTCCGTGCCAATCTAGACACGCGCCAATCCATTTTCGCGATCGGGGCTTTTTTGCCCAAATCTGCGCTGTCTACACTGGCCCTTTTGCGCAAAGGCTTTGCGCAAAAGGGACTTTTGCCTGAATGGGAGCAGCATAGTATTTCCGCAAGAAGCACTGATTTCTTACATGAGATCGTCAGTATTCTTGCGGAAATACAAGCGGCGAGTGTAGACAGCTGGCCAGTTTTTCCACAAAAGCAGCTGCTTTTGCAGGAAAACTTACCAGTCTAGACACAGCCCTTAAGTATTAGCATTGCAGTAAAACAGTCTTAAAGCAGCTTAGAGTAATAATTTTAGTTGAACTCCTATTCAGTGTAGTAAACTTACGGATTTCAACTGACCCCCACTTAAAAAACAGGTGCTAGACATATGCATTCAATATTAAAAATGACTAGAACAATCTAGTGATCTACATGTGCAACTAGTAGGAAAGGAAGCAACTGATTTAAGTGGCAACATTTTATGGATTCAGCATCTGAAGCATCAATCTTGAGCAATGTCTTGCAAGTGCACCCAGCATTTTGGACAGATGTGAAACTTACGCAAATCACTCCCAGGGGTGGAGAGGGGAAGCCCAGAATGTAGTAATGTAATAGCTGCTACTAAGCTGTCCAATGCTTTATAGCAAAGGTGGGGAACCTGTGGCCCACAGCTTGCCTGGATCTGGTCCCTGAGGCTCAATCCCCGCCCCTCCCCCGCAGCATTAGACAGCATGCACTGACATTTCAGTCCCCCTGCTGCCCCACCAGAGGACTGGAGCACACAAATCTACTAACCTAAGCCCTCCTAGGTTCTGGTATGGGAGGGGAATGTGAGGAGTGTCTTTCTCCTTCTCAGTCAGGGGCCACATCAATGAGGTGTTTGTTTTGCTTCTTACTTGTATGCAGCTCTGCCCCAACTGATTTTTCTGTGGGTCAGTGGCCCCCATATCCAAAAACTGTTCCTGGCCCCTCTTAGGCTGTGTCCAGACTCAGGGTTTTTTTCGGGAAAAGTAGCCTTTTTCCGAAAAAACTTCACCTGCGTCTAGACTGCAGCCGCGTTCTTTCGAAATTAAATTGAAAGAACGCGGCTTTTCTTTCGACGGCGGTAAACCTCATTTCACGAGGAAGAACGCCTTCTTTCGAAAGTGCTTCTTTCGAAAGAAGGCGTTCTTGAATGTAAATAGGGCTTCTTCGAAAGAGAGCATCCAGACTCACTGGGTGCTTTCTTTCGAAAAAGCGGCTTGCTCTTTCGAAAGAGGCTTGCAGTCTAGACATAGCCTTAGTGACTAATTTGATTTTTAATTAATAGTTTTTTTCAGAGCCACTGGCACTACATGAAGTGTTCTCATCTCTGAGACTAAAGTGAAAAGGATGCTGCAGCAAAAGAAGGTCCAGGAACAGCAATCAGATTTTGTTTTTAAAATGAAAGCCACCAAACACACACATTGGCTGTGTCTACATTGGCATGATTTTGCACAAAAGCGGCCGCCTTTGCACAAAAAAATGCTGCCTTTCTAAGTTCTTGCGCAAGAACACTGACATTCTAATGTGTGAAATCAGTGCTTCTTGCGCAAGAACTATGGTGCTCCTACTCAAGAAAAAGCCCTCTTGCGCAACTGTTCTTGTACAAGAGGCCAGTGTAGACAGGCAACATGAATTTCTTGCGCAAGAAAGCCGGATGGCTAAAACGGCCATCAGAGCTTTCTTGCGCAAGAAGAGAACATCTACACCGGCACAGATGCTTTTGCACAAAAGCACATCTCTTGTGCAAAAGCACATGCCAGTGTAGACACTCTCTTGTGCAAATACTTTAACGCAAAACCTCTTGCGTTAAAAGTATTTGAGCAAAATCTTGCCAATGTAGACGTAGCCATTGTGTTTAGATTACTGGGATATGTTTGACTACAGGTGTTAATCAAATTGCAACTGCTGTTTAGAAGTGTATTATACAAAATTGGGCCTTTATACTAAAAAGCCAACTAGGTACAGTTGTTTCATTATTCATTACCTTCTGATGGTCTAGAGTATTACGCGAAGTTCGAATCCTACATGCAGTCTTCAGCAAGCCAAGATTAAAATTCATTTACATGAAAATGGAATTTGTGCAACTCCAAAGAATGAGAACCACTGCTGTTGTCAAATGACTCACTAATGGACAATTGTTAGTATATAAAAATATCATCCCTGGATTGTAGGAACTAAATCCTACTCCAGTCCAAGTTGCCATAACAGCTAACATTTCAGTATTTTAGCCTGTCAAAGAATTGCAGGGTTTAAGAACCCAAGATACATGTTAAATATGTCTAGATATGCAGTTATCCAGGTATACCAGTTCATAAGCATCAAACATCCCTTTTATATTAAGGGAACTTTTTTCTGGACAGTTTTCAAGTACAAGGAATAATCATGTTAGTTACACCCAACTATTAACAGGTTTCCATCTTTAGTTTGATCTCAGATCATCTTCATGATCACTGAACTTTTCCTTGAAAAGGAAGAACTTGTAGAAAAACTGCACTTAATGCTTATAAGAGAAGGGAGCAATGCAGAAGGCTCAATTAGAGCCAATAAACAAAATCTGCAATGGCTAGGCTTATTAGGACAGTAAATAATGGCAATTAATTGTGCCATTAAATACTATTTAATTTGTTTTCTACATTTTCAACTATTGATTTTACACAGAATAGTGTACAGTGATCTTTATTACAAATTTATTTTGTAAAAAATAAGTGTTTCAATTCCCACTAAGATACTGTGGAGTAGTCTTTAGCACTGAAGTGAACTTATAACTATTACATACAGAAAGTAAAGGCATTAAAAATTAAAACAAGGTCAGACTTCAGTGCCTACTAATCCACTCAGTCCTTCTTGTAAACTCATGTCTTAGAAACTGGCCAAACATTTATAGGAGATATTGTAAACAAGAAGTGGGCAAGCACTGTCACCTGAAAGTGAAAACAGGCTGTTGCATATCACTTATAACCAGCACTGCAAGATACTCAGATGCACTAAAGATTCCTATGTTGCCTCATGCTTCTCCCATCATTCTGCAGGACATGCATCCATGCTGATAGGTTCTGCTGGATAACTAGCCAAGGCAGACTGGACTGACATGTTCATTTTAATCATCCTAATCAGGTGTCACCACCAGAATGTTTCCTTTGGTGGCAGGTGCTGTAGTTTCTACATTTAAGTGTTGCTCTTAAGACTTCTGGAAACATGCTGTACACCACTGTTTCTTAAACTGTGTTCCGCAGCACACCAGTGTGCCGTGAGGCAGTTGGAGGTGTGCTGTGGAGAACAGAGTTCAAAATGGCCACTCTTAAAGAGGCAGGTGACTTCCCCCACTCCCAAACCTTCCCCCTCCCGACTCAAAGTGTGGTGCTCTTCAGGAAAAAAATTGTGTTCCTCAGTCTTAAAAAGTTTAACAAATGTTGCTGTACTCCTTGTTCCTCATTTTGGAGGGCACTACAGATTCTTAAACCTTGGAATGCTGTAGCTATTTAGAAGTCTCATATTGGTACCTTCACTGCATATCTGAAGAAACAAGCATCAGAGACTGCATAATTATGGCTGAACATGAGTAAAATAGCAGGAGGCATTCAATTCCCCAAAGAGCCCAGGGCCAAAAGCTTAACTTTTTTAAAAGAGCTTCCATGCTGATTCATGTTGTTTGGAATTGTGGCCCAAGTAGGAAGGGGCACAAGTGTTTAGCACATCTGGCACACAACTACCTTACAATGCCAGCTACATCAGTGCCACCTGAATGCCAGTTCTCATTTTGAGGTGAGTGAATAGAAAGCAGATGGCATTATCGCTCAACGTAAATAAACTTGTTTGCCTCACTGATTGAACAAGGACTGAGTGGCCTGTAAACCCTAAAGTTTCACATTGAGTGCAGATATGAACCAAAAAAAACAAAACAAAAAACCTCCACTTGTAAGTTGCTGCATCTTCATGATAAAGAGATTGTATTGCATTGCATAAGGATGTTCAGTTAGTTGATCTAAATTTAATAGTCAGTTGATACAACTTGCACTGATTAGTTAAGGGCATCTCTGCCTTTGAAGTGTAGCAAGAGCCTGGCTGGCTCCTGCTACATTTCATAGGCAGAAGTGCCATGCTTTGCTTTTGAAGCATAGGAAGAGCTCTGCTGTTACTACATTTGAAAGGCAGAAGAGTCACCAGTTCCCTGCTGTGCCCTGCCTCTTTCCCCAACAGTGCTGGGGGAGAGGGGGAAGGGAGAAGAGAATCAGCTTTTAAGATGGCTCCCTCCAGCACTGGCTCCTGCTTTTACCCCACCCCCTTCCCCAACTGCCTCTGACAGATGTAGCAAAGAGGGGAAGCAACTAGCTAACTGATAAACATGTCTGTCAACTAGTCACTTACATTCCCTAGTACTATAGTACTTTTGAGGTGAACTGAAAAAGCCATTTACAGTGCAAGTATTGTTAATAAAATGTGCAGTGTACACTTTGAATTCTGTATTATAGTTGAAATCAATTTGAAAAAGTGTAGAAAAACACCCCAAAATACTAAGTTTTAATTGTCTATTTAATAATGTGATTAAAACTGCCATTATTCATGATTTTTACTCAAAAATTGCATACATTGACTGCCACTAATCCTCAGCCCTTGTTTTTAATGTGATCTTTTACTTATTTTCATACAGCTGAAGTACTGAGCCATAACCTTCTTACAGGTTTATTAGTAGCAGCTGTGATACCATAAGAAGTGGAAAGACTATTTATATAGTAATAGGAGTTAAATGAACATGAGGGAGGAAGAAAAATGTTTTATTCCCTTAATATCCATGGCAGAGCAAGACACACTGGAAGTGCATTTTCACTTTTATTTCAAAACTTCACAAATTTTAGTATATAAATTTGATTTCTTTACAGAATATAAAGATAATTCCCTCATTTTTCAATATAAAGTGTTTTACAAGCTTGAAGACGATTGCAGAAGTGCATTTTGAACATGGGGATCTCTGAAACAGACTGCCTTGGGTCATTACACAAGTTAGACGATTATAGTAGTTATTTTAACAAGATACAGTTAAGTGATTTAATTAAATGCATGTGAATGTGTGACACTGGAACAGTGTTAGTCCAAGTAAGGCCAACTCAGTAAACTGTGTTAGGGTCATTGCTAAGAGTTGAAAATACTCCACTAGTAGTGCAGATGGACTCTAAATAGCTTCAATGCTATTATAATGATAAGAGATTCATGGAGTGATTTAGCTAAAGCAAATTAGTTCTTTACTGACAAAATAAATGCAAAAACTGAGCTGTGTACTCATGTTAGTATAGAGGAGGCTTATTGTGCCTGTATCTGCTGCATGCTTAACTATAACCTTTGAAACCAAGTGCATTAGTCACTAACATTTACTTTGAGTGGATATTTAGAGCATTCAGGCATGTCTTATTTTGGACGGCGTGTAGTTTTTGTCTATTACTTCATCTTGTAAAAACATGTGAAGACAGCGTTCATTCTGCGCTAGAGGGTGGCCAGCAACTCTAGGAAAAAGAGAAAAAGAATTAGTTTCAGAAAATAAAAGCAAGAGTTTCAGGTTCTTAATCTGAAGGCCCCTAAATCCTCAACTGCAGATTAGAAATGCATACACCTAAAAGGCATCACATTGTTCAAGAGTGAGACTTCAAGTGTCTCCTCAACTTCCCATCCTCACCCCTTGGAGATTTATTATACCATAATACTGAAAGACTTCTCCCCCAATCCCATCTTGAATCAAAGCTGATCAGAAGACACCAAAAAAGGTGGGGAAAGACATCTCAACCTCTCCAGAAACTCCCCTAGCCTGGTTTAGAAAGATTGGATGGGGAAGCCTCTTAGCATATAGAATGGAGAACAGCAATTTATGGCAAGAACTGCACTGAACTCTGGGGCACAAAGCAGGGAAGTATTGTTCGATGGGGAATCTCCACCCCAGATGCTAATGAATCCATGCTTACCTGTACCCAGATCAGAAATTATCAGATCAATTCTAATAATAAATCCTTTACTGATATTCAATATTGAAGCTGCCCAACTATATATGAGCTCCCTCAAAGGAGCCAGCTATAGCCAGGAATGATCAGTGCCTATTGTCTAGCCTAAACAACTTTAGAACACTCTTCATCATCAGTTTCCCTGTAAATCCAGTATTCCCACTTGCACCATTGTTTCTTCCCTACAAAACTCCCTACCCATGCTCAAGTAAAGTGTTCTGAAAACTGGATCTGAATTCTGCATCAGTTCCATTGTGACTTCTGACTGGTCATGCTGGGGGGCTCTGCTCTGCATATCTCCAACACTTTGGATCCCCAGCTACCATCACCACCTGGGAACTCTGATCTAATTGAGCTAATGGAATGGTGAGATCTCTTGGATAGCCTCCTGATCCTCCTCTGTGATAAGTTAGAGTTTGCTATCCCTAACTTGTGATAAGAGTTAAATTAGAATTAATTTTAACTGTTTTGGCTCCCCTTGTAGGGTTACTGCCTGAAAATAAATGAATGGTTAAAATGGTTGCTCTCCCACCAAAGTGTTGCTTTTAGTTTTCCATTCACTCCACAAATGCTGCTTGTACCCAAGCTAAAGATCCCTGTAGCACCCAAAAATCCTGTGGGGTTTGCTCATCAAGGGGTTACTAGCAGAATGGTTATAGCATGAAAGTGGGGATAGGAATGTGCTGAAAGTGGAAGCATGAGGGTGGCAGCTGAAAGTGCTGTTAAACCCAGCCCACTGAGTCCCAGGGCACATGGGTCACAGCTTGGCATTGCGGTCCAACCCAGCCCACTGAGTATAGGGACATACAAGGGATGATCAGCCAGTCCTGTCACACCATTAGTATATGTTCATTTGTTTCACAGAGTTGGAGGGAAGAGAACTCAGCCCTGGGGAATCTAGGTCCTGCAGAATAGCTCCACTGGGAGGGAACTGGCAAAAGGGAGTCTGTTCTAACATGGTACTCAAGCAGCATAACACCTGCCTGTCCAGAGTAACCCTAATAAATGAATATACCCCAAAGAAATGGACAAATCTGGTAAAATCCAAAGTTTTTTAATGAGCACTCATTCACTGGCTCTAGCAAGTCCTCAGACTTATCTAGTTCTGCCCTGATTAGGGATGTACATGACTAGCTGACTACCTGATAAGCATATGCTTATTGGTAGCTTAGTGACTCAACTAGTCACTTCCTCTGTCCTTGCTGCCTCTATCAGAGACCGGCAGCAAAAGAGGTAGGGGTGGGAGGAAAGCAGGAGCCAGTGCTGGGGAGAGCTGGCTTAAAGCCAGTTCCCCAGCAGTCCCCACTCCTGCCTGCTGCTCTTCTGCCTCTTAAAGGTAGTAAAGAGTCACAGGTGGCTTTTACTACATTTCAAAGACAGAGGTGCAGCTG